CAACAGGACTGAAAGCTCACTGAAAGTGCACCACGTGCAATGATGTCTTGGGGCCACCTATTTTTTATCGAAGGGGGGGGGGGTTGGGAGGATCGCATGGTTTTTATAGGGAAGGGAACAGCTACAAAGTGTGATACATACATCACAATTGACTTTTTGTTGTGTAGTATCGCTGAGTATTTTTACAAGTTGTGCCGTATTTTGATTGGCCCGTAAGGCGGGTCAAATTATAAACGACAGTTGAAACTGTCATTCTTAGTGTGTGTCAAATATCACTGAAAGCGCCCGCGTCAAATGATCTTTATCATTCAATTTACACTGAAACGACTAATCCGCAGGTAAACAATCTTAACTCAAATTAATTAACAGCCCCATTATCAGGAAAGGACACGCGTCTTCTTAGACAAAAAAAAGGGCGCGATACGTGAATGATGTGATGCTAGCAATGGTTACAGAATGAAAATGTAACTGTGATTAAAAAAATTGTAAACTTGACTTAACTCCACACAAAAATAATGTAATGCAACTAAAACTAAAAGAACACAATTTTTCGTCCACGACTCGTAAATCGTTTAATAACAGGTAGTGTTACAGTATTTTCTCAACCGCCAGAAAGATATAACTCGTACTAACTCAACTACTTTATTGATTGACGTACTAACTACGGAGCGATACCAATAACTAATACATTAACTATCCTCTTAACTTAGCTATGTAGCGACATTAATACCTAAACAATTACTATCCTCTTGCGTTAGAGCCTTCTATAAATACTATAACTTCAATCTCAGTGCACTACTGGACAACTCACGGTTCTCTTTAAAGATCCTCGTCGCTTATCAATATCCACAACTCTTTTCAAGGCAGCCTTCCACACGACTGACGATTCCAGTAAAATAATTCCAACAACTCTATCCGGCTCTCGCTCCTCTAGGCTCCTCGTAGTAACACTGACTCACTGAAAAAGGCCTCTAATAACCTATCGCGACTCCTTAGATATATTTTTGAGCGTGTAGTACCAAGTATGTAAATTATGTAGAAAGGCCGATAGTTTCGAATGAAACTGTTTGGGGCTACGTCGGTGGGAGTAACGAAATAGTTTGGATATATCAACAAAGTGAAAATGATAAATGTAAATTATGTAATTGTACACTGAAAAACCCCAGATGGGGATGTGTTCAATAAAATGTATGTATGTATGTATGTATGCATGCATGCATGCATGTATGTATGTATGTATGTATGTATGTATGTATGTATGTATGTACGTATGTATGTATGTAGAGAGATTAAACCTGGTGTCCGTGAAACAGTGCTCAATACAAATAGTAGAGCGGGTATAATGTGTTGTAGGCAGAAAAAATAACTACATATACATCCCTAGAGACCTGTTTCGTGGTTTCCCACTCATCAGGGGATTTTAAAAGATACCTTTATGCCTACAGACATACATATGTATGTATGTATCTTTTAAAAAAATTCCAGAATGTTCTAGAGATCTGTAATACTGCTATTTTTAGTAACTTTACACTACTATTACATCATAACGAAAATATGCTGGCTAACTGTTCTAGAAAGTTCCATTAAAAGTTCTTAATGAGTCAGAATGACTAAGCGTTCTCAAAAACTTCCTCGATTCTATTTTTAGCAACTATGTAACACCACGTTCTCCATAACAGTAGTAGCACCCTAGACACGAAACGCGTAGTGAAATGAACACTGCGATGGATGCAAAGCGTGATAAATGACACTTTTGCAGCCGACTCATATCTTTACATTACCATACACAGCTTTCTTATGAAAATCGTCGATGTTCTTGATACACTCGTGAGGTTTAGGTAAATGTAAACAAACTGATTTCGATGCCTGGAATAGGTGGACACAAATCATAGTTACCTGTGCATTTTTTGCCATCGCCATTAAACCCAACCTTGCAGCTGCAGTTGAAAGAACCTTCGGTATTGTTGCACTTGGCATTAACGT